TGGTTCAGCTCAGATCCAAACTGAGACCTGAATCAGCAGAAAATACATGGATAATCAGCTGAGTTTTTCATATATAACTCTTATTCTCTGTTACCTATGGCTTTGCACTTGAGTTTCCCATCTGTATAAAACAAAAGTAATGCTAAAATTTCAGGGGGTTGTATGACCTTATGTACAAATGCCTTATATGATGCCCAGCTCACAGCAATGGCCAATTAGAAAACCAAGTGCAAGTGTAGATGGACTCCTTTCCCTCTCATGCCCAGGCAAAAGTAGACTGTTACCCCAAACCAAACAGGTTTCTGTAACTAGAGAAGGAAGATCCCAAAATGAATTATCTAGTCCATTAGAATCCAATCAATCTAATCAATTCCCATCACTGCAAATACAGTTACTGTGTATGTTCAATGTGTAAGAACAACCAGGTCCCTCCAGACATAGTGGCGCATACCTGAAATCCCAGCACTCAGGGAGGCTGAGGCAAGAGGACCACTGTGAGTTCCAGCCTGGGCTACAAAGTAAGTTCAAGGCCAGCCTGAACTGCAGAGTGAGCCCTGTCTCAAAAAGACAAAAAACAACTAGGTATAAAACCTGAAACTTTGCTCAAAGAAAATATACAGGAAAAACTTGAAGCCATAGGCTCCAACAAGAACAACGAGGTAAGGTATAGGCAGAAGCCAAGTGAGACAAGCTATAGGCCCAACCTTCATACACATCCAAATTCTTTAGACTAAATGGTACATTCTCCACCTGTAAAATACGGGAACCAAGTCATCATTACAAAGCATTTATGTGTAACAAGCTGTGCCATGTCCTAGGGGAGACCTGACTGCATGCTCATCCTTACCCCACTGAGAAAGCAGCCAGTTGTGGAAAAGCTTCTTTTGACTTTTTGATTGAGCTCTAAACGATTAAGGGAAGCTCTCTCTCTGCCTAACCATGCAGTGAGGGGAGTTGTCAGGACTTCTCCAGGGCCAAGAACGGCAGCTAGCATAGGAACCTAGACTCTAGTCTACCAGAGCCTAAGCTTTGTCCATCAAAGATTCCCTTATTATTCCTCTTTCCTCCAGACCCTGTGGATTAAAACAGTGCCAATTAAGCTATAATTATTATGGAAATTTTTATTGTTTTTTTAAAAAATCAACCAAATATATTAATAAACATCTGATAACCAAGAAAAAAGTACTACCAAGAGTATGCTGATACAATTCTAACCATAAACCAGGAAATCTGTAGTTCTGAGTAATTTGTGTAGTTGCATGGCAGTTAAAGATAGGCCTTCAATTAAAAATAAAAAACCAAACAACAACAAAAAGAACCATAGTGCTTCCATTATTTGGGAAAAAAATGGAAAGGATCTTGTAGATCTCTAAGGAGTATATAAGCTGCAGAGCTGGGAACCATTCAGCTGATTCAAGCCCTTCATTTTTCAGATTAAGAACTGAAGGCAGATGCCAGATTACTGGTAAACTCTGCAGGATTAATGATTTTTCCTTTTAGATGTGGGTTGCTTTAGAATACAAAGATATACTTGTTTTCTTCAAGAGATAATGTATAACTCAAGCATATTCAACTGAGGGGAAATGAAAAGAATTAAGATGTGTTATGTACACACGTACCAACTCCCCATGATGAAAATAATCATTATGTACTACAAGTATGTACTAATAAAATTTTAAAAATTTAATAAAAAGATTATCAAATCAATCTCAAACATTAAGGGAAATTCTATGAAAAGAAAAATCCTTTAAAATTTTCAGACAAAAGACATTTCCTAGCCAGGTGTGTTGGCACACCCTTACAATCCTAGTATTCAGGAGGCTGAGGCAAGAGAGTCACCATGAGTTTGAGACCAGCCTGGGGTATATAGTGAGTTCAAACTGAACTGCATAGCAAAAGACCATGTTTTGAAAAAGCAAAGCAAAACAAAAAAAAAAAAATTATTTCATAGGCTGGGGATGTGGCTCAGCGTAGAATGCTTGCCTAGCAAGTGTGATGCCCTGGGTTCCAATCCCTAACATGAGACAGTGGGGGTAGGGTGTATTGTGGGTGGTCCACTCCCTAATTTGCCTCATCTGTAAATTCCAGTTTGAGGTGTTTTCTTACTTGGGAGTGTACCTGTGATTATATCGCACCCCTCACGCCTGTGGCATGGGCAGGGAAGATGTGTACTCTGCTGAATGGGACCTGCCAGACAGGGGTGTAAAGGGCACAGAAATTACATTCTTCATTCTTTGCTCCTTCTTCCTCCCTCACATGGTCACGCCTGATCATGTCCCCATGGAATCTGGTTGCGTCACCTTCTTTGCAACCACAGTTCCAAAACTCTTATGGACTTTGTATTCTTCCAGAAGCCTAAGGGTCAAGGACTTAATTGGACAGGATCTGGCAATAACCCTGTTTAGAAAGCCCAGAAAGGGTAGCCCCTGTGTTCTGTCAAGGAGGAAAATGAGTCCAGAGAAAGGACACGTAGTTTTTCAGAGAGGAGCCCTTAAAGATGTCCTGTAATAGGGGAGAGACTGACAGGAAGAAGTAGCTTTCTGACCAAGCAGTGATTTAACTTGAAAGCAGATGGGCTGGGTGGTCCCTCCCTGGAGACCAAAGTCCCATGTGCTGCCTCTCTTCAGAAGTGGCTTCAGGAATGTGGCTTCTCAATTAGGGGAGGGAGAAGGTCTATAGTAAGTCAGTGAGTCAATACCCCTTGACTCCAGCTGGGCAAACAGAACTTGGGGAATGGAGGTGAGATTATCAGACACCTAGGGGGAAGAAATGACAAAAGACAGCTAGACCTTAATGGTCTTGGAGCCCTGGCCCAGGTTGAGAGTTTATTATCTGTTCTAGCTCCAGCTTCTGAGAAGACCTATCCTGATCCCCCAAAATTAAACAGGACATAATGTTTCTGGTACCTAAATACCACCCCTCATCCCCCAGATGCCTTTCCAGGGCTGAATTAAAAGGAATTAATGGAGGACCTGGACTTCTGGCTACACAAAACCTGGTATCTTGATTCTACATGGTAACTGTGCGTGATAGTGCACACCTGCAATCCCAGACTCCAGAGACTGAGGCAGAGGATTCTACATGGTAAGTCCACCTCCTAAACTAAAGATCAATTCCTATAGGCTCTTCAGATAATACTCTCTTCAACATGCCTGACAAATCAACTCTTTTTCCTCTCTTGGTTAGAAGAAAGCAAACCTGAGACTATCCCAGGAGATGTGGGTAGAGGGAGCTGAAGTCCTCTAAAGGATGAGAAAGAAACTCACAAAGAAAAGGTGGGCTGCGGAGATCTCGAATGTTAGCTTTGTTGAAACTGGATGCCTCATCTGTAAAATGGGGATATATAATCTCTTTAGACTTGAGAGATTAAAGGATAAAGTGCCTAGCAGGATGCCTGATACAGTCAGCATCCAGGTCCCCCATCCCCAATCCAGATGCTTCCTACTATACCAGGATACCAGGATCTAATCATTCAGTGAAACCACAGGGTTAATCTACTTTTCTACCATGTTCCGGGCCACCTGACCACCTGACTAGTGTCTGGGAAGTAAGATCTGGGTATCCAGCTGGGTTGGGGAAGCCAGAAGAAAAAAAATTAACCAGGACCACTGGTGAGAGGGAGGCAACCCTTGGAACAACAGGTTTCTCCCAAAGAATAAAAACAAGCCCCACCCCAGCCTGGAGTGGCTCCATTCAGAAGAGACCCGAAGGCCAGAAACCCCTGAGGGGAGTTTCTACTGGAGGTGGGGTGGGGCAGTGAACAAAGACAGACAGGTTTGAAGAGTAAAGTTTCCACACTTTCCTCTGAGAAGCCCCAAGGAGGCCCCTACAAGTACTTAGACCTGACAGGGGTAGGAACTGGCCCCACAGCTCAGGATCACTCTCAGAAGCACTAACCCTGCCGTTCTCCAGCAACTACTCTCACCTGGGAGCTCAGACGCCCTATAACCAGAGGCAAAGGTGCCTGCCATTAAGAGGAAAAGTGTTTACAGGGTGCCTGTGTTCTAGGCTACCCACACCCAGGCTTTGCCAGCTTCCAGTTTGGCAAAACCTGCCCATCCTGCTTGTTGGGACAAATTTCTGGGCAGGCAGCGTGGCCTACAGGTAAGACATGTGAGGGCTGGAAGAATAGCACCCTATTCATACTCTTCTTCAGGAAACAGTAGCACCAAGAGCAGGCCAGGTCACTGGCACCTTTTAGAGGCTCTCGCATGTGTGTCTGGGAAGGGAGGGGAGCCAGAGCTCCCAGGAGCTTCCTTCCAAGCCTATCCCTCACCTCACCATTTCCAGGACATGGTGAGGTGGCTTTCATCCTGCCGGTTCTGCTTACCTAAAAGCTCTACTGGCTTCAGCCTGGCAGAACCAATGGTTAAGGGATAAGTGAAACTGGAGAAGCAGATTCAGGGAGGCCTCTGCCCTGCCCACAGCACCATAGGCCAGGAGAGGAGATGATGGGGAAGGGGAGTGGGAGACCAACTCACCGAAAGGGGTCTCTGGAGGTGAAGTAAGCCGGGATGGACAAGTAACTCCCCATCTTCTTCCCACACCAGATAAACAGGCTCAGCTGCAAACCCGTCTGGGAGTGCCTCAGGCCGGCTGTAGACCGCCACCATGACAGGCCGGGTGCGGCACCTCTGGCTGCGGGCGGGCTGCCCCGCGCTCACCTCTCCCTCCGGAGCAGCAGGAGGAGGGTGAGGACTCCAGGCCACTGGCCCCCCGGCAGATTACCAGAGGGGCTCATGGCTGGTGCGGTTCCTTCCTAGTTCCTGGAAGCTCTGGTGGCCCCTCAGGACTCTGGGAGAACCACCTCTCTGCGGAGACTATACACACACAGGCATTCTTGGGCAGGGGCTATTGCGTGGCTAGCTAAGAAAAGAAGCACTGCTGTCAAGTTAGCCTTCTTCTTCAGTCCCACCCCAAATGAGGGAGGGAGGGAGGAAGAGGAGGGGCTCCTGTGGAACCGAGGTGTGTGGTTGGCGCAGCTGTTAGGAAACCGACCTTGCAGCAAGGGGTGGAGCTGGGTTAGAGCGAGGCTGCAAGGAGGCTGCAGGCAGGCACCCGATACAGACAATAACTAGAGCTGGCTGAGCGTCCATCACTGACCTCAGAGCAGAGAAGCGCAAAAGAGAGGACCAACACATCTGACAAACGTTCCCAGCCTAACAAGCTACCTAAAAGGACAGCATTTCTGCTCCGAGGTGAAGAAAAGCTCAGGGTGCCAGCTTCAGGCAAAGCCACACCCCCAGAAGAGGGGGAACCTCTGGTGGGAGAGGCAGCTCCACAGAGCCATCTCCTGCTCTGACCTGGCATTACTGACTCTTTTACCCCCTCCCTCTGCCTGCTCTAGGGACAACCTCAAGAGCCGGCCTATTGGCACTGCCACCTCCACACTGGGACAGGGTTGGAAACAAAGGCGAGTATTAACTGATACTGAATGTGTCTCCATGTGGCAAACACTATATGCATGCTGTTATTTATGAGAAAAGAATTATCTCCACTTTACAAACTAGGAAAGAAAGGTGCACAGAGATTAGGTAGCTCGCACAAGGCCAAAATGCTAAACAGCAGCTGAGCTGGGATTGTTTTCTTTCCTTAAATTTTTTTTATATTTTGCTGAGCTGGGGATAGAATCTGGGGCTTCACACACGCCAGGCAAGTGCTTTACACCTGAGCTGTAACCCCAACCCTAATGGTAAAATTTAAATACAGGCACCTATGATTCCAGAGCTGCAGCTTTCAGCTATTAGGCTTCATTCTACTCCTTCAAGAGGAAACATTTTTCTCAAAGCCAGTAGATTGGAGTTCAGGTTATCTGTCTCCTCTAATGCATTAATTCCCAGGACACCATTCATTAGCCTCACTGGGCAGTGGTGAATGAGAGGCCAATCTGGAATGGGAGCTTGCCTAAGGAGCCCCAGCTATGAGGATGACCAACTAGGGCCTACCATTTTTTTTTTTTTTTTTGTCTTTTTCGTTTTTATCGGTACCAGGGATCGAACTCACGACTGCCTGCTTACTTATGCTGCTGAGCTAAATCCCCAGCCCCTAGGGCCTACCATTAAGAAGGACTCTTATCCCCCTGCCTGCAAGACTGTGAAGGAAAAAGCAAGGGTGCTAGAGGAGCCCGAGGAAACTTTCAACTTCACCGTTGGTCTTGGGGCAGTGACAAAGGCTGTCTCCCATCAGATATACGTCCGTCCCTCTCCACTAGAAAGAAGCCAAAGTCATCCTGAAGTTGCTGTCATCATGAATTATGGCAAGAAGGTCTGTGACAAAGGTAGCGGCGCCTGGATTACTAGTCTCTTTTCCCATTCTTCCAATTGGGCACAGGGATGATGAGTGCAATATGAGACACTGGGTTTGCATCCTGTTAATAAGCTCCCCTTTACTGAGCCCTTGGTTTGATCTAGGCCCTCTGGTAAGTGCTTGCTACCTATCATCTATCATATTTATATTGCCAGCATACAGAGTGGATGTTATACCCATTTAACAAATATGCAAATTAAGATTCTAATGGGTTGAGTCTGTAGCCTGAAGAAAACAGCTAGGAAGTCGTGAACCACTGGGTTTGAAATCCTGATCCTTGAGTAAGGCTCTGGATACTTTTTCGGTAAAGGCCCAGAGTAGAAATATTAGTAGGTTCTGCAGGTCATAGAGACTATTATAGATACTCAACTATGCCATTAGAGTGCCAAAGCAGCTATATATGAAACAAATGAATGGAAAGCTTTTCTTTGTGGACACTGAAATTTGAATTTCATATAGCTTTCACATGTCATGAAATAGTCTCTTGGCTTTTCCCCTCTACAACCATTTAAAAGCATAAAAATCACAGGCAGCATAAAAATAAACAATGAGCCACAGTTTGCCCACTAGTTTATGTTCTAGAGCCAGAGCTCAACCACTATGTTCACTACCTCTAACAATGAAGAATGGGTCTGGCCCTTTGTGCAGAACTCAGCCACATGTATCTATCACCACACACAAGACACCACACTTAAGCCCTAGGCAGCCAGGAGCAGCAATCACTGGATGGGTGCTTGCCCTGTACCAAGCAAAATAGTACTTGCAGCACTATATATATATGAATGAATTTTAACAAACACTATTTGGTAGTACTGTGACACCCCCTTGTTTAATGAAACTGAGGTAATAATGAGATTAATTAAGTTGCTTTTGTGAGGTTATCTAGCTGTATAGTTGAGATGGGAAGCCAGGCTTTGAACTTAGACTAGACAGTATAGACTACTCTACCATGCTGAACTGGAGCTCAGCCTGGGCCCAGAGCCAGACTGTCTGGGTTTGAATGCGACAAATGCACTGCATGTAAGCCCTTGGCACCAAGTCTGAAACACATTAAGAGGTGACAAATGTTAGCTGTTAATATCGTTAAGACTATTGTTACAACTATTATGGGCTAGCTATGTGGCCTGTAGCAAGTCCCTGCCTCTGTCTGGGTCTTGGTTAGACCTCCAAATAGCTCCCAGTTTCAACATTTTCCATCACTAAGAAGTTGCAGGGGGCTCCCTATTTTCTTTGAGTCTCAAGCTGAGTTTAAACCTCTTGAGCAGTCTTGAAGGGATCAGGATCCTAGACTGAGGGGTGGAGAAAACACAAGAACCCCAAAGGTGGGAGGGGGCAACACACAGGATACTGAAAGGGCTGCCCAGCTGGAGAGCTGGGAGTTCTTTTTCTCTTAGCTACAGAGCCAAAAAATCTATTATGTTCCCCTGTAATTCGATCAGGCAAGGAGAGAGCCCAAAATTAAGTCTGGAACTAGCAAATTATCTTCTAACTGTACCCTCTGATTTCCATCTGATGAACAGAGTACAGATGGAAGAAAACGCAAGCCACAGAGAGACTGGGGCCAGGGAGCCCATGAGCATAACTCCTCTTGACATTTCACACAGCTTTGCTGTTCCAGTGGCGGCGGGCGCAATGAGTCGGTGTCTAGGAATGTGAGCAGGAGGCTGCAGGCCTTCTCCTCTCTCCCCACTCCTTTTACAAAAGATTCAGTGGGTGTGGAACTAGTGAGAAGGCTCAGTGCCATGAAAACTGCCTTCCCCTGGAAGAGTAGCAGCCATCTCCTCATCCTAAACAGACGTGGAAGTCCCTCCCAGGTGAAATCCATGTGACTTCCATAAATCCAGACTTCAGGAGGAATCTCTGAAGGATTGACCATCACATGTGATAAGCCCCTGGCTGCTTATACCTAAGTGTGTGGTTCCTTAGGGTTAACTTCGAAGGACCTAAACCACTCAGACATGGAAAGTGAAAAGTCACAATGGAGGGCGTATTTCCCTCTCTAGTTCTTGGAAATTCATCCCCGGAAGGAAAGCTGCTCTTCTAGGTTCCCAGAGCAGCTGGCAGAGAATTCAAGTTATGGTTGCCAATGGCAACACAGAGATCATTAGACTGGCTGCTTTGTTCAGAAAAAATGGCTGGAGAGGTGCTAATCTCCTGCACATTTCACAAGTTGGAAACCTGGCAAGGAGCTGAGACATGGAGCTTCCAGGAGTCTGTCTGTGACAAGCTGGGAAACAAAAGCCTTTAGAGGAGGCAGCCCCAAGTGAACACTGCAACAAGGAATATCAATGAATGAATCATCCCAACCTCTCCTTTTTTTGAAGGCTCTGGTTAGATAATTCAAAAGTGAGGGAACCGTGTTTATGTGAGGCCCTCTATTGGCTGGGAGGACCCCAAGCAAGGAAGAGAGATCCTGGGGACTCTGGAGCCTCTAAATCAGGGATGCAAACCTTTTAGAGTGACCACACTGTAGCCCAAAATCCACTTATTTATTGCAAAGTGCCAACACTGCAATTAAACCTCAATACAGAGATTTTAGTTGAGAAAAAAACTACCATTATCCGATACTCTGCTGCTGAGGCAACTTGGCTCACATGCCAGCAGAAGCTTTGTGTGCCTGCTATAGCACGCAAGCGACAGATTTACCATCATTGCTCTAAATCCTACAAGGGAACCATGGGTACCTCCTCCACTGACCATCTTTCCTGCTGCTACTTCTCCCCTTCCAAGTAACTTTCAACAGTACAATAGCCGTCATCTTTCTAAATAAGGGAGCTCCAGTAATTTCACTGCTAAAATTTTGCCTACAGAAATATTCCTACAACTGTGCAAACACACATTCAAACAGCACAGCACTGCTTAATGCTAAAAGATTAGAAATAATCCACGTGTCTAGCAATGGGTACTAACTACGATGGTACATACAACAGAATACAGGCAGCTGTTAAAAATATTGAAGTAGGTTAAGTATTGACATAGAAATCATCTTGAGTAAATATTAAGTGAAAAAACCCCAGACTTCCAAGATAGTTTACAGTATACAGTAATCTCACTGTTCAAAAAAAAAGGTGTATGTGGAGCAGTGTTTAGGCACACACTTCTAATCCCTTTCTTGGGAGGCTGAAGCAGGAAGATTACAAGTTTGAGGCCAGTCTGAACTACACAGCAAGACTTTATCTCAAAAAAGCAAAAACAAAACATCTGTATATATAACACTTAGGGACCACCTGGAGACTGCTTCCTCACATATCAGTTTTTTTTTTTCCTTTAGAGTAGTAAGACAAGGAGCAGAGATGGGACAGCATATATTTTATACCCTATGGATACTGCTTAAATATATTCCTAGGTTGGGCATAGTGGCATAGACCTGTGATTCCAGCACTTGTGAGGCTGAGACAGGAGGACTGCCATGAGTTCAAGGTCAACCTGAGCTACCTAGTGAGTTCAAAGCCAGTCTGAGTAACACAGCAAGACTCTGTCTCAAAATTAAATTTTTTCTTATATTGAAGTTCTTTTTAAAAATCATAAAAGGAGAGGTAAGCATTGTAATATGCACCAATAATCCTAGCACTTGGGAGGCTGATGCAGAAGGATCATGAGTTTGAGGCTAGCCTAGGTTGTATGAAGAACTCAAGGCTAGCCTGGACCTGAGAGCTATCTTAGTACCCCCTCCCAAAATAAGTCATAAATGAATAGCAGCAAAAATAAATCCCAAATGTGGTTACCCACATTTTCCCCAGTGTTTTTGGCCAAAGAAAGCTTATCAAGTTTAGTGCACTCAGAATACAGGGGTTATCACTTTTAGTTTCCCTACCAGAGCTGCTGCCTTGGCTACTTTCTACTCCTCTCGGTTTCCTGACCAGAACACATAAAGCTTTCTCTACTAGCCCCCAAACCTCCGCAGACCCCTGCTGGTACCTGTTTTCAAATCCTTTTTGAAGCCCAATATCAGAACACTCATTCTGTCTTCGGAAGGGTTCCCTGTATATTTCCAAGCTCCTCACACACAGGAAATGTTCTGGGCTCACATCTGTCTACTGACAGATGAAACCTCAGGAGGGCAGGCACCGGGTACTCCTCTTGCTCAGAATAGGCCTGGCCCACACCATGTGTGCGCAGATGCCTACCTAGTACATAAACATGATGTCAAACCCCTCAAGTTTAAACCCCTGAACCATTGTCGTATTATATACTAGAAGAGTGGTGATAACTAACGTTTACAAAGCCATTTCAGTTTCCAAATTGCTACTGATTCTATCAGCTCTCCAGAATTTTGTAGGCAAATGAAGAGAATCATAAATTTATATTTTTTCAGGATCTCTTTTTCCACCTTTTTGGAGAAGTGGAGCAGTTAGTATTTCCATTTGTTATTCTACTAACACATCCGCAGCATCTGGTATATAGTTGGTGTGGAACACTCGTTATACTTCATGTCAGACTGTAAGGTTGGGGTTCTCATCTTGTGGCTATTTCCCCCTAGTATTAGGGATTGCAGCAAGTGTTTTTGAGTTACACCCACAGCTCTTTACTTTTCTTTTTCTTTTTGAGGCAGAATCTTGCTAAACTACTAAGATGCTACAGAGAGGGTTGTTATTTAAGGTCATAGGTGTAAGAATGAATTGGTAGAGTTGAAATTTAACCCGTCTTTTTTTTTTTTTTAAGAGTACAAAAAATTACTGGAGAATAAGAATAGCTCCTGAGAGACAGGAAGGGTCCCAAATGGGTTGCCTAACTCAGGTCTTAACAGATCTAATACACTAAAGTTGCCTCAAAATAATTATTTTATAATTGCTATTTCATTGACAGTGGTATTTCTGAAAGTATGGCTGAAGAAGGAGCTACACAGGACTTCTCTGGGCAACTTACTGAAGAAGATTCCTGGGCCCCATCCCAGGCACAGAGAATAACAGTCATGAGATTAGGGCTAAGGGCCTGCATTTTATTTTATTTTTATTTATTTATTTTTTTTGGCGACAGTGTCTTGCTATGAAGTTCAGGCTGGCCTTAAACTAGCAGCAATCCTCCTGCCTCAGCCTCCCAAGTGGTGGGATTAAAGGTATGTGTCACCATGCCTAGCAGAACCTGTGTTTTAAACAGGCCCAATGTTCCTGATACACAACAAAGATTGAGACACCACAGAGCACTGCCATAAAGTTGGGGGCCACTGTGAACTCTTTCAATGGCCTCATGATATTTGCAGGGTACACCTCTTTTCTTATTTTTTTTTTTTTTTTTTTTTTTGTCTTTTTCATTTTTATCTGTACCAGGGATCGAACTCACGACCGCCTGCTTGCAAGGCAGGTGCTTATGCCGCTGAGCTAAATCCCCAGCCATTCTCTTTTCTTATTTTTAACTGGCCTGAATTTGTTCTGCAGAGTTCATACCTTTAATAAATGTAAAATACAAACAAACAAACCAAAAACCTCACCAGAAGAAGAAGACAACAACGAAGAAGAAGATGAAGACGACGAAGACGAAGACGAAGAAGAAGAAGAAGAAGAAGAAGATTGAAAACCACTGCGTTACTCTTTCCTGAGTGTTTTTCTACTTGATTTCATTTTACTATCACATGAACCATGAAAGGGGGCAGGGTGAATCAGTGTTATGTCCTTGTTACAAATGAGAAAAAGGACGCAAAGGGAGGTTGTTCATCTTCTTATTTTGGCTAGATAAATGTTTGCTGACTGACAATTTGTTATGCCCTAGTTCACCGAGGACCTTTACCTTTCTGGTGATAGTCTTACTTACCTGTACCCCCCTGATAGCTGCCTCCCTCCTTCCTCAGTGACACTTTAATAGTGTTCAGGATATAGTTATAAAAAGATGACTCTAGAAGATAGGGGCATTCCTTAAAAACATTACCCAAGAAACTAAAATAAATTTAAAATAAACACATAGCCAATTTTGCAAATAGCTGTTCTACAAAAATCACTTTACTGATGGAGTAGAGTGGAGCACCTTCTGATCTAAACACAAATACTACATGGCATTGTGAAAAAGGTATGACCAGAATATGACTGACACACAGAAGAAAGCAACCTTAAATTTCTTTCTATCTCTAGTATGAGGTGCTCAGGGATTTCATGGTAACAGTGAGGCACGTAAGGAAAGAGAATGTTAGCACTCCTCCAGCACTTCCAGTGGAGAAGAGTCTAGCCTTTGATGGAAAAAAGAAACAAGGTAAAATGGCACCGTGAGCTATGGTAGTTACAGAAGGGATAATGTTTACAGACTGAGGTCTTATTTTATTCTCACTTCCAAAAAAAAGAAGCTCTTATCTGGGAGAATAATGCAAAGAGATAAAGGGTGCTGTTATAGTTTAGATTTAAAAAGTCCCCCCAAATTCTCATCTGTGTGAAAGGAGACTGGATCATGGAAGCACTACACTCACCAGTGCTGGGGCCTGTTGGATGTGGTCACTGGGGGTGTGACCTGAAAGGGTGGATTCTTGTCCTTACCTGCTCTTTTGTCTGAATCTGTCTCTGTCCCTGTTCTCTCTCTCTCCCTCCACCCCTCCCTCCTTCCTGCCTGCCAGAGAATGAGCAGCTTTTCCCCGCCATGCTCTTCCACCACGGTGTTTTGTGCTTTGGAGCCAGCCAATCATGTACTGAAATGATGAGTCAAAATAAACTTCTCCTATAAAACTTCTTTAAATTGTGGGTGTTGGCTTATTTTGTCCCACGAATGAAGAAGTGGCTAAGACAGGTGTACACTGGAAAGGCTTTATTCAAATGTTCAGAGTCATCTGACAAACACATCATTCACCCAGCAAACATCTGAGTGCCTGCTACAATTCTAGACATTGTACTAAGCTCTGGATACACAAATGAATTAGATATAGTTCCCTGCTTGGAAAATTTTATACTTTAAGAGGAACACTAGACATGTAAACAAATACCCACGACACTATAACTAAGGTATGAAAAAGTCTTATATTGGTGAGACGTTGTTGGGAGCCGCAGCCCCGAGCCCGGTCGCCTCACTTGGCGGACGTGAGGCCTGTAGTAAAGAGTAAAGCCTGAGGTAGATTACCCCTCCCATCGAGCACGTTAGTTTCCTGCTTACCGTGTAAGCAACCCGCTCAACAATATAGTCTGCCTGGCAACTGATGATGTTAGCCAATCAGCTTGCCTTGCTTACTTTAACATGATTGGACACTGTATCCGTATATATACTGGTGCCACCCCTGGGGGGGAAGAAGAAGCCCGGAAGTAGAAGCCCAGAAGGAGCCGCGGGGAGCGGACCAAAGGAGGCTTCGGCTGGGAGCGATCCCAGGGCAGGCTGTACGGAGAAGGAAAATAAAAGAAAAGGTTGTCCACTGCCAGACTTTGTCGTGTGTCCTTCCTGCCGGCCGGGAGCGACATCGACATTTGGAGGCCCGCACGGGGACTGATCACCCCCGAGACGTGACAGCGGACAACGCTCCAGTACAGAGCTGCGAGACAGGTGAGTTGGGGATAAGCCTGGGCTCTGGGTGGCGCGCACCTACAGGGCTTTTAGACTCCCCTCAGGCTCACGTGTAAGTGGCGGATTCCTTGGGCCTCACGCGGTGAGTAACATATTAAAAGATGGGAAACATGTTAGGTAGCAACACTAAGAGCGAGGGTGGTTGTGGAGAAAGCTCTCAAGAGCTTACAAAAGTACGCAGGGTATTTGAGCAGGCCCAGTCAGGGAGCTCCCGAGAGGGGCCCGTCAAGGGGAACAAAGATGCTAAGGAGAAGGACGGGGCTCTAGCCTCGGAGTCGTCTGACTCCAAGGACGAGGGAAAGTTGAATGGCAAGGAGGCCAAAGAGACCAGCTGTCAGGAGCCTAAGTCGCTCGATAAGGAGTTGCAGGGTTCTTTCCCAGCGTTGCGCCGCGAATTGCGCTCCGCTCAACTTGGTCTGCGGAGGAGTAGAGAGCTCCTGAGCGCTCCCCGGCGCGAGAGGGAGGCGAAGCCTTCCGCCCCACCTTGGGGGCTGTTCCCAGAGGCGATCCCTCGCCGTGAGGCGGCCGCCCGGGAGCTCCCTTCCCCTTCGCCAGAACAGGAAGTGATGCACGGGCCCCCATTTTCCGCCCAATCATGGCCGCCGTCTTATGCTCCGCCGCCGGCGGGTCGGTATTTTTACAGGCGGCTTTGGCAGGGGGGACGTTTGTCTCATGAGGTACATCCACCACCTGGGATAGATAGTGGCCCCTACGGGATATTTCCTGTACAAGTAGCTATGGGCCAGGGACGTAATGCATGGGAGCCTTTTGAGATAAAGCAGATTAGAGAACTTAAAAATGCAGTTACAACCTTTGGGCCGACTGCGCCTTACACCATTGCCATGCTGGAGAACCTGTCTTCTGGGCCCCTCACCCCCGCGGACTGGATTCAGCTGGCAAAGGCGTGTCTGCCCTCGGGTAGTTACCTGGATTGGCGAGCCTGGTACGCAGAGTTCTCTGCAGAGCAGGCTGAGAGAAACGCCAGTCGGGGAAACCGGGGGTGGAACAAGGAAATGCTTATGGGAGAAGGTCGGCACGCTGATGATCAGACTCAGTTCCCCGGCGCTGTCTATGAACAAATCAACGCCATAGGGCTCCGCGCCTGGAAGCAGGTAAGTGGTGCCGGAACAGCCTCCCTGTGTCTTTCAAAAATAATTCAGGGTACCACAGAGCCATTTGTTGACTTTGTGGCCCGAATGCAAGATGCTGCCGATAAGATATTTTCTGATCCGGGAGTGGCTCGACCGCTGGTAAGGCAGCTGATTTTTGAGCAATGTACAAAGGAGTGCAAGGCAGCGATAGCTCCTCATAAGAACAAGGACCTCAACGCCTGGATTAGGATATGTAGAGAGATAGGGGGGCCGCTCTCCAATTCGGGATTGGCTGCTCTCCTGGCCTCGGCTGTACAGCAGAGGGGACCTCGCAGGTTAGAAGGGGAATGTAAGGCTAAAGGGTGTTTTGCCTGCGGGGAGCCAGGACACATTAAACGTCATTGCCCAAACAATGCAAATGCTAGGCCTCACCCTAGGAATGAAGAACCATATGTTTGTGGGCGATGCAAGAGGGGATCACACAAAGCTGAGGAGTGTAGGTCGGTCTTTGATGCTCAGGGCAACCGTATTTGTGGACGAGATGCTAGAGGGCCAAAAAACGGCCAGAGGGGGCCCCCTTCACAGGCGGGCCCCCGCCCCAGAGACAGGACAGCTCAGGATGGCAGCCTTCAACAAGGGCCACCCCTGGGTCAGCAGGTGTGGACCTCAGTGTCGCCTCCAGACTTATATTAGTGCCTGATATGGGTGTTCAAGTGGTTGAAACCACCTTTAAGGGACCGTTACCCGAAAATTCCGTGGGTCTGGTGATCGGGAGATCCTCCACGGCCCTTCGGGGTCTCATAGTAGTCCCGGGGGTCATAGACTCAGACTACACAGGACACATTAAAATTATGGTTCAATCTCTTGTGGGTACTATGGTAATCAATAAAGGAGACAAGATAGCGCAGCTCTTGCTGCTCCCCAGTCTCCACAAGAGATTCCCCTCAAAGCAGAAAATTAGAGAAAGTCAAGGTTTCGGTTCCTCAGGGGAAGTCTTCGAGGGACTCCATATAATACTTGATAAAAGGCCCATGCTCTCACTTAAGGTCAATGGCAAGAATATAACAGGGCTCCTAGACACAGGAGCTGACCGTTCCATTATCTCTAGAAAGGATTGGCCCTCCAACTGGCCCACCAACACTGCAGATAACACGCTGCAGGGCCTGGGGATGGTGTCAGCTCCTCAGGTTAGTGCTTCAACCCTGCTCTGGTGTGATGAGGAGGGTCATCAGGGCCATTTCCAACCATTTGTGTTGCAGTTGCCAGTGTCTCTATGGGGAAGGGACATCCTCACTCAGATGGATGTCACGCTTACGTCAAACTGCTCCCCCCAGGCTAAGGATATACTCAGGAACCAGGGATATACCCCCGGCAAAGGCTTGGGCAATGCCCTACAGGGTCGGACATCCCCAATACCAGTAGAGAACAAAAAAGGTAGGCAAGGGCTGGGTTTTTCTTAGGGGCCGCTGAAGAAGCTCTCCTACCCACTTCGATCAAAATCACCTGGAGGTCAAATGACCCGGTTTGGGTACCTCAGTGGCCCCTGCCTAAGGAGAAGCTATTAGCCTTGTCAGAAATAGTCAGTACACAACTTAGATTAAGACACATTAAGCCGTCAACCTCCCCATGGAACACCCCCATTTTTATAATTAAGAAAAAGTCTGGCAAGTGGAGGCTGCTCCATGATCTAAGGGCGGTCAACGCGCAGATGCAGTCCCTGGGGGCGGTCCAGAGGGGGCTGCCAGCTCTCTCAGCCATCCCTCAGTCCTGGCCAGTTTATGTTATAGATCTTAGAGACTGTTTCTTCTCAATCCCCCTGCATCCAGAGGACACTCATAGGTTCGCCTTTACTTTACCCACCATTAACCAAGAAAGCCCTGATCTCAGATACGAGTGGATAACGCTGCCCCAAGGTATGGCCAACAGTCCCACTATGTGTCAGATTTACCTTGATTCCCTACTGGCCCCCCTACGGAAATCCTTTCCCAAGATAAGATGTGTGCATTACATGGACGACCTTTTACTCAGCGGCAGGGACCCAGACATGCTAAATAATATGCTCGGCCAGTTGGTCGAGGCCCTGAGACAAGCTAATCTGCATGTTGCCCCCGACAAGATTCAGGGAGGAGAAATGGTGACCTACTTAGGCGCGAAAATCTCCCCTATGCTAGTCTCTCCACAGAAGGTCACCATTAGGACGGATGCCGTTAAGACCCTAAATGACATGCAAAAGCTATTGGGAGACATTAATTGGATTAGGCCATATTTACATATACCAAATTCAGATCTCAAACCCCTGTTCGACCTTCTAAAGGGAGACCCAGATATAGCCTCCCACAGGAGGCTCACTCCTGAGGCAAGAGCTGCCTTACAGAGAGTGGAAAAAGCCTTAGGTGGGGCTACCTTACACAGAATTGAACCAGGGCGACCCTTTGATGTCTGTTTGCTACAGACTAGTCTACAGCCCACAGCGGTGATTTGGCAGAAAGGACCATTACTGTGGATACACCCTAAGGTCTCACCTGCAAAAGTCATAGAGCATTACCCGGAGGCAGTCGCTTCATTGGCCCTTGAAGCGCATGATAGAGCTGTCCAACATTTTGGCTCAGGACCACAAGCCATCCGAGTACCCTATACCGCCAGCCAGATCAAGACCCTGGCTGCCTGCATAGATACGTGGGCCATTCTGAGATGTGTTTTCCATGGGGATATAAACAATCAATACCCTAAAGACCCTATCTTGTCATTTGTCACTCAGCACCCTATAATTTTTCCAAAGGTTACTGCCTCTGAGCCATTAGTCCCAGCAACTACAATATATACAGATGGCTCCAAGACGGGGATAGGCGCCTATGTGATCCTAGGCAAGCCCCCGGTTACCATACAATTTGAACCTGATCAGCCTCAGGTGGTAGAACTGCAGATCGTTAAAATGATTCTTGAACGGTTCTCAGAAGCCATTAATATTGTCTCCGATTCTAGGTATGTGATCAATGCTATGCAAGTGCTTGAGACTGCCGGTTTAATTAGATCCACTTCCACAGTGGCTGGGCTGTTCCTGTCTATCCAGACATTGCTTCAGAACAGACACCATAA